GGAGCTGAGGAAGGAGGACGAGGGCGGCTTCCCAAGAGAGAGGGCGGGGCTCGACATGGGCAAGAGTAAAAAAGTAAAAAAGCAGAGACAATTACCTTCAAGGATTCTGCAGTGGGGTGACGGAGGCCTAATCGGTGAATGGGGCATTCTGGAAACGGGTGGCCGTGAAACTCCTGTAATAACCCCCAAAACCGAGGACAGACAAGGTAGTGGCCCTGGGAGTCGCAACCAGCTGCGCACCCAAACATACATTTCTGACACTGCTGGAATCGCGATTGTGTGGTCCAGGCTCCAGCGAGCGTTTTCAGCACAGCTTGCCTCCACGCTGGAGGAAGAGTCAATACCACAGTCTTGACCTGCGGCCAACAGATCGCGTCCAACTGCCTTGGAGGAACATTGGGGAAGAGGTGAGCGAGACGGGCACGGAACGTCGGAGCGAGCGAGGGGGGGAAAGATAGACGACTTGAGGCTCTCGGCAGCGGCACGCTGGATCTTCTTGCCATCACGCTGGGCCTCCAGCGCAAACTGTAAAGCGCGGCGGCCAGCCTTCGCAAAATGCGGATCGTTGCTGTCGACGCTGCATGCAAAGTGTCGCATATCGGGGGCTCAGTCCAGAATTCTGGGCAGCGACGGCCTTTTCTCACATCTTCAAGGGAGAGCTCGGTCCCCGCCTCCGAGAGACGAGCAACGCAAGACCGCCAAACCGAGAACGTGCTAATTGACGCTCGAATGAGCGTCGCCAGGTTGAGCACTAGAACATTTCTGAGGCGAGGGCCGCCCCAGCTTTCGAGAGAAAAGAACGCCTGGCGAGACAGCGAGCAGTGCGGCATCTTTAAAATCGAAGCGAAAATCGCATGCTCCTTCGGAAGCACTGTCTTGGGAATCCGACAGAACTGAGCGATGTACCCCGAACAGGAGAGAGCACGCGAGTCGTATAATGTGGTGGCGACAGCTGCGGGCGCTCCCGACTGGGCAATGCTGTTCGAGCGTTTCGCCCATTTGGCCACGGGTGCATCCCAAGACGACGGGGACGCAGCAGGACCAAGAAAGACTCCTAAATAGAGCAGCTTGGGGACTATACATATATCTGTCCACTCGGGCAAGTGCTGATTGATCCAATTCTTATAAGTCCAAGCGACTGCCTCCGAGAAGGGACCGCTTAAAGGCACTAGCTTACATTTACTCAGTTTGAGGGTTAGATTGGCCACCCGTTTCGAAGCCCGAAAACCCGCATATACTTTTCTGAGGGCGGTCAGATCTCGAATCACACTGCCTTTATCGTCCGCGCAGGCCCTCACGAGGCCCAACTGCTTCTTCTCGAGGAGGGTTTCGAAGTGTTCGACGAACGGATGAGACGCCACCGCATATAAGGTCCCGCTCGCTGGACACCCTTGGACAATCCCCGACTCGACGAGGTAAAGGAAAACCATGCACTGCCCGAGCTGGCCGTAGCACGCGACCTGCATGTAAATAAACTCCAGAAACTCGAAGAGGGGCTGGGGGAGGTTGAGCGATTTCAAGATGAGGAAGATCCAGTGCCGGGAGATGGAGGGGAAGGCCTGGCCGGTTTCGAAAGAGAGAAGTGCATTCTGGCATCATCGAAGTGATCCGAGCCTCGGCATCGAGCTCAATTATGTTGTCCCCGAAGTTTCGCTTGGGCACGAAGCCCCTCTGAGTCTGATTTATGAATCCTAGGAGAGCCCGCGTCAGAGGCTGTATGACCACCGAGGTTAAGATCTTGCAGTCTGTGTTCTTTAATCCCAGGGGGCGTGTTCCACTGGCATCTCGGATCACTTTGTCACTGTCCTCGGGCCCGGAGCCCTTGACCAAGAAAGCGCCAAGCATCTGGTTGAAACCGAAGAGGGGAGGGTTGCCTGCAAGGTTCCAGTCCAACGTGCTGCACAAAACCTTCGGGCCCGCGGGGCGATATTTCCAGGCCCAATATGGCAGGCCATCTGGTCCAGGAGCGCTCGGCGAAACTCTGTCCAGGAAACGACCAATACTAGCTTCCGAGGGTGGCGGCAGCCCTGAAAGATCGACGCTTGGCTTGAACCTCTGGGCGCACTGGAGGGCGGCAGGCTTGTCGATCTCCGACTTCGCAAAAACTGGACCCCAATGCTGAGCCAGACCTGACAAAATCTCGTTCGGCTTCGAGGTGACCGCGTCCTGGGCCGTCCTGAGGCCCTGCAGTGGGAGCTTCCTATCGAATGGAGACCAAAGACGAGCCCGGACCTGGAGGCTTTTGAGGCGCTTGGCCAATTTGGCCCGCTCGAGAGCCGGAGGATCTCCCTGAAGTCGCTGTCTGGCATCTGCTTGTGCCGAGTGGAACATTGCCAAGTTGGCCTCGTTCGCCTCAGCGTGAAACCTGATCGGGTCAGTGATGCTCACGCTCCGCTGCTGAACATCTAGGCTGATAAACTTGCGGCCGAAGGGGTGCGACAAGACAATGCGCCTGGCCAGCACCATATCCTGATTCCAGACTGCTCTGGCAATAGTGCGGCACGCAACATAACGAGAGAGAGGATCGTGAGGTTTACCAGTGAGAAGCCGATTACGTGCGTGACGTGCAGCTTCGAACATAAGTTCTTTGTGAAAGAGGAGTCGGAGAGGTGGAGAGAGAACACTATCGTCCATCTGTGCCAGCACGGACTCAATGAACTGCTGGCACTCGCGTCGCTTGAAGATATCTCGATGGATTCGTCGATCCTTTGGCGGAGTCTGAGAGCGAGGTGTGAGGATCACGCCGATCGCAGCGTGGTCGGACAGCTTTGTCTTAGCAAGCACCTCAAGGTATCCGTGGACGCGAGCACCCGTGCACCTCTGGGTGATGCACCAGCCTGGCGCTGACACGAATAACCGATCCAGCTTCCCGAGAGCCCCCCGAGCGGCGCAGAAATGGGTCGGGTCTCCAGGATCGATTTCGACGAGCTTCTTGAGAGCGGCCTTCCAGGGGCCTCCAGAGCGGATGGGCTGAGACGAGTGCTTATCGGGGTCCTGAGAGGGGATCTTCTCTGGGTCCTGAGAGAGGGATATACCAAGCTTGGAGAGGGAGAGGTCATCTAGCGCCTTCGGGGGCTCGTCCGAGAAATTGAAGTCGCCACCTACGAGGACGAAGCCTTTCAAGGGGTCCTCCGAGGCCTTGCTGTAGTCCAGGGTGATAGCCTCTAGGATGTAGTTTCTCTGAGCCGACGTCAACCCGTGGTTATGAATGTTGAAATGCGATACCCAAACACCGTTAGGAAACAAAACTCGAACATTCACGGCACGGCCCCTGACAAGCTCAATCGGAGTGACTACTGGGCGCCTCGCAGCACCGTGAGTCTTGTTGAAATCTGGCAAGATGGTAATCACCCCGCCAGCTGGATGAGCAGAGACAAGAAATAGAGAGAAGAATGCCTGGAACGGGCGATGCATGTGGAACAGCATATCCTTGATTTCAGCCTCAGACCCGTGAGATTCCTGAATCCCCAAGATGGCACCAGGTCCCAGGAGAGACTTCGCATAGCGGATTTTGCGGTCCTTGATATTCTGCTTATGGTGGAACAGAGCTTGGGCATGCCAGGAGCAGAACGAGAGAGGGGATGCCGAGGAAGAAGAACTGCTCCATGCCGAAAAGAGCGGGTTAAACCCGCCACGATACTGGCTCAGGAGGTCGCCCAATCTGCGCCACCTTGGCCTCGATGTCTGTGCGGCTGAAGTTGAAGTGCTGCAAATTGGCATCGGCGTACTCGATCGTCGGCACCTCGTTGCTCTGAGCTGGTATGCCACGGAGCAGGGGCTTCCATTGCAGGCTGACCTCGCCCTTCGCCTTGTTAACGTGGAAGTGATGCTGCGGATATAGTTCTGATAGCGTACGCTTGAGCTGCTTCGCGAGGATCTCGCGCCTGACCTGTGCCTGCGACTTGTCAATCGAGACAAAGACCTCTGAGGGAACGTTCTGAGAGTCCATCGCGCTGAATCGCTGCCACTCCTGCGCACTAAGCTTGAAGCTGCCGATAATTTGCCCCACACGACGAGCTGCGTAAGCTGGTGACCCTTTGACGCGGAGCACGAACCTCTTCCCTGCAGGGTCTCCTTCAGACTGCACCTCGCTGGGATGAATATTGTTATTCTCAATGATTGGCTTGACCACGGACTCTGCGACTGACTCCTTGGTCGAGTAACTCTTGCACCTGATGACGAGAATCGTGGGGTCAGGCGGGCGATCGAATTCATTCGAGGATGCGTCCACCACCACCTGCGGCACCTCCTTCTGCATGATCCCCAGGATCTCTTCAAGGCGGGTAATCTTTGCCGACGTACGTGCCATCTCGTCTTTCTGCTCACGTTGTGTGCGTTCGAGTCCTGACATTCGTGATTCCACTTGTCTGCTGAGGCCGCCGACTGAATCGTTGACCAGCTTGCCAAGGGAGCCGACGTTTGTAGAAATAGCTGAGATGGCCTGTAGAAGTTCCTTCTTTGTGTCATCCACGTACTGCTTGAAGTCTTCTGACTCCATGGCATCCTCGAAGGACTGCGAGCGGCTTCTGTCGTCGTCACGGGGGCCCCCACGACCACGCTGAGGAGTGCCAGAATCGCCAGTACCTGGGCGAACACGGCCACCACGTCCTTGAGGTTGAGCAGCAGCTGCGACACCTGCGACTCCTTCCTGGGACGGGAACGTCGGCGCTGCCTCGAGTAGAGAGAGGAGTCCACTGCTGCCTGCACCAGCCATCGTTCGCTCTGGCTACGCTGGTAGCCGATGGCGCCCGAAACGACGGTTGTGCTGTGAGTGGAGAAAGCCGTGGCCTGCTGCGGCCTGAGAGATGGCCACGGACGGGCCAAAGCTAATCGCTGATTCTCGGGCGTTTATAGCCCTTCACAACGTTTAGCCTTGAGCCAAAATGGCTACGGACCTCCTCCTCCTCCTCCTCCTCCTCCTCTTCAGTCTCCTCCTCTGTGGCTGTCTCCTCCGTGGATGTGATGATGCCTGCCCGTCGACTCAAGGGCCTCTCAAGAGCGTCGGCAGCAGCAGCAGCAGCAGCAGAAGGCACTCGCAGGACGATGCCAGCGCGTGCGCTGCCGAGGCCGCCTCGGCGCCCTCGCCTCTCTGCAGCACCTGCGCCTGGCTGTCCGCCTCGAGCGGCACACTGAAGACGGCGCCGAGGTCGGCCTCGCTGGCTCTCCAGGGACCCGCGGGGGAGGAGAGAGAGGACCAAGCTGGGGAGGCAGAGCGGTGGAGCGCAGAAAAGCCACCCCCGTAACTTATAACAATCACCCCGACACGCGAAGCCGTCTGTTCAGCAAACGCACCCGCAGAGGGAATCCGACAGGGCAGGGCTGTTTGGTAAACGCCCAAGGCCGTTTAGCCAACGCCAACTATCGGGCCCGGGTGGCTTGCCCTCCCCTGAAACAGGGCCGGCCAGAGGCCGGGAGGCAGACTTCGGGACCCGCGGTGACGCGGCCTCGGAGGGCGCCCAGGGGCCAGAGCCTCGTGGACCGCCTCCGGGCTGCGGCACCCAAGCGCCCTGCCGAGAGAGAGGGGGGAGGGACAGGAGCCTGGAGAGAGAGAGAGAGGGAGAACAAAAAAGAGAGAGAGAGAGAGAGAGCGGCAGGGGAGGTGCACGGGCGGGGGCGGGGGCAGAGGAGGAGGCCGAGGGCGAGGATGCGGACGAGGGTGCCAAGGATTCGAAAGTGCAGATGGGGAGGTGGGGAGGGGGGGGGCCAGAAGAGGAGGGCGGCGGTGGCTGCAGACGCGTGCCCGCGTTTCCTCGAGCTCCCGAGCGCCTCGGACCACCACACCACCCCGCATGTGGTGCACTACGGCCGCAGAGCGAAGGACCTGGTGCCCAGACACGCAAGTCAACACACACACACACACACACACACACTTTCAGACATAGCTATATACTAACCCAGTGCCAGGGTGGCCTTGCCAGGGTAGAACGGGAAGGGGGGGGCGGGGGGGGGGGGCGTCCCCCGGTCTCTGCAGCTGGGGGGGGTTCTTACTGGGGCGGCTTTGCCAGGGTATGGGGGGGGGGGCCCGTGGGGCAGCCCTCTGTCGCTGCGGATGGGGTGTGGGTGTCAGGGTGGCTTTGCCGGGGTAGTATTGGGGGGGGAGGGGGCGTCCCCCAATAACTGGCGCTGGGAGTGCGAATGCCGGGGTGGCTCTGCAGGGTTAGGGGGGGGGCGGGTGGGACAGCGTCCTGGATTTCTGCTGCTGCTGGGGGGGAAGACCTGAGGTGCCCTGCTGGGGCACAAAAAAACAAGGGGGGAGGTGGTCTTGCAGAGGGGTGTGGAGCCCGGGTTCTGCTGCCCAACGGCGCATGGCATCGGGAGCGCCCGGTCGGCGACACGGGCCAGATGCCTCCACGATGATGCAAGCAAATCCACTTATGGAAAGTGTGTGCGTGTGTGTGTGTGTGTGTGTGCGTCCAAAGTTAGCCGCGCGCGAATATAGAATGCCACGTGAGGAGCGCTATTTCTCCAGACGTCATCGAGAGAAACGTACCGGCGGTATTGTTGGTTTGGCCGCATCTTAAATAATGTGCCCCCCCACACTGATGAGGTCGAAAAGTAAGTGAAAAGGACGCATCGGCGGCATCATCGCCGCACATCGTCGCTCAAATATGCATTGACAAGCAAGGGCGCCGACAGGTGCGAATTCGCGCGAAACTGCGAGGTCAAAAAATCCTATGCCAGGCCAATGCCGAAACTTCCAGTGCGTACACCGACACGGCATGAATGTAACATGTGCAATGGCGGAGACCTGGCTTGGCAGTAAGCTTGAATAGTGTCGCTTTCCAACTCTGCCAACAGGCCCCTCGCTTGGCGCTGCGTACTTGGCATTGCGGCCTGACTGGGAACGCGCCAAGCAACGCGCCTAGCAATGAGCGACAAGGTAGAATTAGTGCGGCGGTGGAACTCGCCAGGGCAACGCATGCTTTAAACTCGTCATTTGCTCAAAGCAAAGCAAAAACAAAACGCGTCGACGCAATTCGTGGCCCTTTTTAATTTCAACGCTGGCTGTTGATCAAACGGGGTTGCCGTTCAAAGCAAAATAAAACGACAAGACCACACGCAAACTTGCGAAAAAGCTGCGAAACTGAACAAAACAAAACGAATCGCGCTGAAGCACATGACACCAATCGAATGAATTTGGATATTGCTTTGGGTTGGAGCCCCAGGAATTGTGACAAGGCTTTCGCGAGGGGCCTAATGAATTAGGACGCGGTGTTCCGTCAGAGGGACGATGAATTAAGATAAGGTGATCGCAGGGAGCCCCAAGGAATTAGTATGTGGTTGTTCGCAAGGAGCCCAATGTTTGTGACCAATGTTTTGGCAAGAATCCCAAGGAATTAGGTTAAGGTTTCGCCAGAGTGGCTAGGAGCTCAGATGAGGATTTTCGCATTGAGAAAAAGGATCTGGCACTATGTTTTCCCTGACGAATTATGACGTTTTCGGAGTGGGCTCATGGAGTTAGGAAAAAGTTCTCGCAGGTGCCACAGGAGATCAGATCAGGACTTGCGTAAGGAGGCCGATGAATTAGCGCAGTGTACTCGCAAGGGCCCCAATGAGATAGGATCGGGTTTTCGTGGAGAGCCCAAGGAGCTAGGATAAGGTTTTCGAGGAGAGACAAATGAGTTCAAGTGAGAATGTTCGCACGGAGCCCGAGGAATTTAAACAATGTTGCAGTAAAGGCCCCAATGCGATAGCATAGGATTTTCATATGGAGCCTAAGAAGTCCGGATCAGGTGTTCGCGGGGTGCCCAAGAAATTCAGATTAGAATGCTCGTCAGGAGCTCGAGGAGTTAGCACAGTGTGTTCGTAAGCACCCCAATGAGTTAGGACGAGGTCTTTGCAGGAAGCCCGCTCGAGGCGTCAGGATAAGGTGTTCGCGAGTGGGGAGGGGGGAGGTGAGGAGTTCAGATGAGGATGTCCATAACGAGCCCGAGAGGAGCCAGCACAGGGTTCCCGTAGAAGGCCCCAGCAAGCTGGGATGAGATGCCCGCGAGGCGCCCGAGGAGTCAGGAGGAGGTGTGCGCGGGGAGCCCGAGGAGTTCAGACGACGGGTGCCGCGAGGAGCCCGAGGAGCTGGCACGAGGCGTGTGCTTGTTAAGGGCCCCCGAAGGTGCTCGTGGGGAGCCCAAGGAGTCAGGAAGCAGCTTTCGCGGGGAGTCCAGGCAGTTCGGACGAGAATGCGAGGCGTTCGCAGGGAGCCCAGGGAAGTTGGATCAGGTTCTCGGAGGGGGCCCAAGGAGTTCAGATTATAATTTCGTAAGGACCTCGAGGAGGGAACAAAAATGTTTGCGCAAGGGCCCCAAGGGGTTCGGAAACGGTTCCCGTAGGGAGCCCACGGAGTTAGAAGTTAGAATAAGGTTTTCGCGGAGAGCCCAAGGAGTTCAGATGCGGAGTTTCGTGAGGAGCCTGACGGGTTTATCACAATATGTCTCAAAAGAGTTAGGATGAGGTTTTCGGAAAGAGAGACCAAAGATTTAGGATGAGGTTTTCGCGGGTGTCACCGGAGATCAGCTGAGGATTTGCGTAAGGTGCACGAAGAGTTAGCGCACTGGTATCGTGAGAACACCAATGAGTTAAGATAAGTTGATTGGGGGAACCTAAGGATCACTTGCCGAACTTGAAGATGTCAACTCCACTGCTCGCGCAATCATCCCACCCACCCACCCGCAACTTGGTTTGCAAAATCTCCTAAGACCGTGACGGAGGGTACCAAATGGCATTTGGCAACGACAGCGACGCCGACGACGACAGTCACAACGACGACGACGACGCCGCCGACGACTACGACGACACCGACGATGTCTCCAACGACTTCGACGACGCCGACAACGACGACGACGACGACGACACCGACGACGATGACGACGCCGACGCCGACGACGACGACGATGACAACGACGACGACGATGACGACACCGACGACGACGACAACGACGACACCGACGACGACGACGACGACGACGTCAACGACGCCGACGACGACAACGACGACGACGACGGCGGCGACGACGACGACGCCGACGTCGACGACGACGACGACGACGACGACGACGACGCCGACGCCGACGACGACGAAGACGACGACGACGTCGCCAACGAAGACGACGACGAGGGAGGAGGGAGGGCGACAACGGCGACAACGACGACAACGACGACAACGACGAGGGAGGAGGGAGGACGGCGACGACGCGAACGACGAAGAAGGAGGAAAGACGGCGACGCCGACGACGACAACGACGAGGGAGGAGGACGACGACGACGACGACGACGACGACGACGACGAAATAGGAGGGACGACGACGAGACGTCGACGACGGACGACGACGACGACGAGGGAGGAGGAGGAAGGACGACCACGGCGACAACGACGACGGAAACGACCACGACGCCAAAGAGGACGACGACGACGAACACGAGGAAAGACAGAGGACGACGTAGGCGACGACGACGACGACGACGCGGGAGGAGGGAGGACGGCGACGACGACGACGACGCAAGAGCGCGCGCACGCTTTTGTTGAAACTCCGTGTTGCGAAACCGTGTGTTTTTGTAGGTTTTTTGGACACACGATTTTGAAAGCCTTCCGAAACCGATGATTTTTGAAGGATTTCGGCATACGCGCGCGACGACGCGCGCGTCTGCACTTCGTCCCATTTGTTGCAGAGGATTCTCGCGACGGCACACGCGCAAGGGCGTTCGACAGATTTCGACATGCGCGCGCGCGAAGCCAATTTGGTAGCATTTTGCGAACTTATTGAAAACCGATGGTTTTCTTAAGATTTCGCAAGAGCTCGCGCGTAAGCTTTTTTAGCAAATCAGTGTTGCGAAACCCTGTGTTTTTGTATGTTTGTTTGGAAATTCGATTGCGACATCCTTCCGACACCGAAGGTTTTTGAAGGATTTCGGCATGCGCGCGCGACGACGCGCGCGTGCACTTCGTCCCATTTTTTGCAAGGGATTCGTGAAACAAGTTTTATGTTAGAACAAGAAATGTCCCCGCGTATTGTCTTGTACAAGGGAACCTCAGGGGGACCGATCCCGGCCCCCCTGGGATAGTGCAAATTCATATTTAGGATGGACATGTGGTCAGAGTCATATATGATTTACATACCCGAAAGGGGGAACGATCACGCCAGGGGGGGTAGAGTCTGTCCGCTTTTTAGAAAAGTGAATTCAGGTTTTGGCGGGGTGCCCAAGGAGTTCAGATGAGGAGCTTCAGCTTTTGGCGGGGTGCCCAAGGAGTTCAGGTTTTGGCGGGGTGCCCAAGGAGCTTGAACAACGTTGTCTTAAGGTCCCCAATGAGATAGGATAACGTTTTCGTACGGATCCTAAGGAGTCCGGATAAGGTTTTCGCGGGGCGCCCAAGAAATTATGATGAGGATGTTCGTAAGGAGCCCGAGGAGTTAGCATAATGTGTTCGCAAGTGCCCCCATGAATTAGGAACAGGTGTTCGCAGGAAGCCCAGGGACTTGGGATAAGGTGTTCGGGGGGCGGGGCGAGGAGTTCAGATGCAGATTTCCGTAACAAGCCCGAGAAGCTAGCGCAATGTTTTCGCCAGGGCCCCAAGGAATTCAGATCATGTTGTTCGGGGGAGTCCAAGAGGCACCAGGTGCTCGCCGGGAGCCCACGGAACTCAGATGAGGATGTTCGTATGGAGGCCGAGGAGTCGACACATCGGGATCCGCATGATACATTGTGCTAACTCCTCGGGTTCCTTACGAACACCCTCGTCTGAACGTATCGGGCTCCGCGCCAAAACCTTCTCCTAACTCCGTGGACTCTCCGCCACAAGCTTACCCTAACTACTGGGGCTCTCCCTACGGAAATCTGATCCTAACCCACGTTGGTCCTTACGAAACCATTATGCGAACTGTTCCTCGGGCTCCTTGCAGCAATCCTCATCTGAACTCCTTGCGCTCCGCGCGAAACCTATTCTGAACTCCTTGGTCTCTCCGCGAAATCCGTTTCCCAACTCCTTGGGCTCCCTACGAAAACCTGATCCTAATCCACTGGGATCCGTACGAATATGTGTCCTTTTCGGGCTCCTTGGACAACCCCTCATCTGAAGCCGTTGCTCTCCGCGCGAAAACCGTATCCTAACTCCTGTCCCTTCCCCGACCCCCCACACACACACACACACACACACACACACACACACACACACACACACACACACACACACACACACACATACACAGGAAACCTTGCCCTAACTCATTGGGGGGAGGGCCTTGTGAACATGTTGTGCTAACTGATCGGGCCCGTGCGAACATCCTCAACTGAACTCCTTGGGCTCCGCGCGAAATACGTATTCTAACTCCGTGGGCTCCCCACGAAGCGCTCAGATTATCCCGTTGGATCCCTGACGAAAACATGGTGCTAACTCCTCGGGCTCCTCGCAAAACTCCCCGTCTGAACTCCTTGGGCTCAGCGCGAAAGCCTGATCCTAACTTCTTGGGTATCTTCGAAGACCTGTTCCTAACTCCTTGGGCTCTCCACGACAACCTTATCAACACGTCGCGCTAATTTCGCGGTTGTCTTGCGAAGATCGTCCACAGCTCCTCGAGCTCCCCGCGAACACCGTATCCTAACTCCTTGGGTTTCCTACGAGCACATGATCCTAACGCATTCAGGGTCCTAACTCCGCAATCTTCTTACGGCAAGACTTTGCATCTGAACTCGATTGGGCTATTAGCAAGCCATATCCTGACTCATCGGGCCCCCTACGAAGGTCGTATCCAAACTCATTGGGGTCGTTACGACCACATTAAAGGAACTCCTCGGGCTCCTTGCTAAGATCCTCGTCCGAACGCATTGAGCGCCCCGCGACAGCCGTATCCTAACTCTGTGGGTTCCCTACGAAGGGCATGTCCTAACTGGCTCGGGGTCCGTACGACAACCAGGCGCTAACTCCTCGGGCTCCTGACGGACACCATCATCTGAACTCCTTGGGATCCCCGCGAAAACCTCATCATAACTTCGTGGTCTCCCTCCACGGAAGTCATATCCTGCTCATTGAGGCCCGTGCGAAAACATCGTGCTAACTCCTCGGGCTCCTTACCAACATCATAATCTGAACTCCTTGGACTCCCCGCGAACACCTTATCCTGACATGTTGGGCTACCTGCGGACGCCGTACCCTAACTCATCGGGACCCGTACGGAAACATGATGTCACCCCGCCTCGGACACCTCACGGAAGTCCTCATCTGAACTCCTTCGGCTCCCCGCTAACACCTGCTCATAACTCCATGTGGTGTCTACGAACACCGTGTCTAAACTCATTGGGGCCCGTACAAACACTTTTCGGTAACTCTCCGAGCTTCTTACGACACTCCTCATCTGAACTCCTTGGACTCTCCACGAAAACCACAGTCTACGACACTCGTGTCCTAACTCATTGGGGCCCTTACGAAACCAGTGTGTTGACTCCTCGGGCGTCTTACGACAATCAGCATAGAAACCCCTTGACTTCCCAGGAAAACCTCAGCATACGTCATTGGGCTTCCGACGAGTGCCCTATCCTTGCGAACACATTGAGCTAACTCCTGGGACGTCTCACGGCCAACCGCATCTGAACCAACTGGGCTCCCAACGAGAACCTTATTCTAACGCATTGCGGCCCCTGCGACAACTTTATCCTAACTCATGAGGGGGTCCGCAAACATTGTGCAAATTCCTCGGGCTCCTTGCGAAAATCCTTATCCCCGCGAGCACTTGATCCGAACTCCTTGGGCTCCCTACGAGCACCGTATCCTAATGTGTTGGGGCCCTTACGGAAACACATCGTGCTACCTCCTCCGGCCCCTTGCGAACCGTCGTATCTGGCCTTGTTGGACTCCCCGCGAACGCCGTATCCTAGCTCGTTGGGATCCCCACGCATACCGTATCCTAACGCATGGGGGCCCGCTCGAAAACACATCGTACTAATTCCTCCGGCTCCTAACGAACATCCTCATCTGACCTCCTTGGGCTCCCCGCGAGCACCTTGGGGGCGTCCAAGAGGGGAGGGGGGGGGGGCGCAAATCATGGCCGGCGGCACGTGCGCGGAGCAGGGGGGGGGAGGGGCTGGGGAAGAAAGGGCGGCATGAAATCTGGGGAGATGTAATGGCCCCCGCCATGATATCACATCCTTCGTCAACACCCCTCTCGTGGCCGCCCCCGATGAAAGCGTCGGTGGATATCCAGTCGTGGGCATGAAGATGACTGCAGCAGCTGGCAATTGCCAGTCATGGCCGTTCACAGCCAAGATGGGCCCACGTCCTGCTGAAATCCAGCTCCCATGGGAACAACACCCAGCGGAGTGCCGTCCTTTTCCTAAAGCCCTTCACGCCGCCACCGGCGGAAGGGGACGAGGAGGGGAGGAGCAGGCAGACGACGACGAACGCGCAGGCGGGAGGCCAAGGCAGGTGGGGCGGGCGGGCAGGCGGAGGGGTGGAGGGGGAAAAAGGGGCGGGCGGGGAGGGGGGCAGCAGCGGGAAATGGAGCATGGGAAGGCGCGGGCTGCCTCGGGCACGTGCCGTTGCCTTCGCGAGAGGCTTCGAGTTTTGGTCCCTCTGGCGGCCCCCCCCGGCTCGGCGTGGTCGGTTTGCGCCTTGGTGTCGTTGCCGCTGTCCTGGCTCCTCGCGGACGTCGCCGCAC